AGAATGTGTTGGTTGTTTTGGTTTTGTTTTGTTTTTTTAATGTCCCTGTCTTCTCTGCTGCTCCTTTTTCTTACTGTCAGTCTTATTGTCAGTTCTTGGCCTGGCATGGAGTTATAACTATGAGAATTGAGTCAGTTGCTTAGAGGGAGAAGAAAGCATTGTATGTAGCGAGGTTAATAGGTATTACACCTTTGAGTTCAAGTTAATGTCAATAATGATTACAGACCAAAATGAGCTATCCTGTTTTGAATATAGTGGGGTTTTTAGTCAAAACAAAACAGTTAATGTTTTGCTGCTCCTTAGTGTTTCATTCCTGGGTAGGGTTCCTTTGCTTGTTGATGTTATACTTTGGTTTGTAAAACCACTGATACCATAAACGTATGGCATACGATCACCTGCTGAGGGACAAAAAGATTTCGGGACAGAGGATAACAGGGAAGTACCATTATGTTTATGTTCTTCCCTGGGCATTTGTTGCTATAGAGAGAATAGTCACTGGGCTTAACAAACTTTCTTACATCGGTTTCATTTTTCTGTTGGTTGGTTTGCTTTGCCACACAAAATGTTAATCTAACTTATACTTACTTTCCTTTTCTTTCTGAATCTTTTGTAGCCAGTGCCCTCTAGGGAACTCTTTTCACCTCGTTTTTGCTTTACGCACCACCTGTTGATGTCAACTGTAAAGTCCAGTTTGTCGTCGTCTTTCATGCTAGTTTTTTCCCCACTCAGCCCTCTTGGTAGAATCTATTTCCTATTGTTATCTTCTGAATCATGGCTTGAAATTCCTCATTAAGGCACAGGGACTGATGAAATTTTAGGTGGGCAGATAAGGTACGTTTAATGGAGCGTTGTGGTTGTGTATGTATAGTCTTTGTTCAACTCCACCCTGTCCTTTCCCGGTTGTTGTTGTCACTTCTTGTTATGTTTCACGATAGATAAATCAGTTCATCTGCTTCTTGCAATTTTGCTTATTTCGTGAAGTGACTGTTGGAATTACTATTTACTAAAATTAGTTTGCACTTCTGTGAGATGACCTTTTAGCAGTAACAGCTAGTTTGGTTTGACTTGCTTTTTAGCACTGAGTTTAAAAAAAAAAAAATTGCTTGAAAATTATTTTGTTTGTGATGATGATCAGCTGTCCCGTGAACAAAGTGCTGAAGAACTTGTTCATCTCTTGTTGCCGCAATAGCTGTCAGTTGGAATCAGTAACACTGTATGGTCTGGCAAAAACATGCTCAGATGCATCTGGCTTTGCCTTTTAATTTGGGATTGTCACGGATACTGGTGTTCCTCTACTTCTATTATACTGCTCAGCTGCCAGGATTGTGCAGATAGATTATTTTTAATGTGCTCAGCTTACTAATTTAGTTGTCTTACAAAGTCAGAGCTAACATGAAAGTATGTTTTTCAAACTTCAAACTAAAACATATAAACAACAAAATCATTTTCAGTTATAAACTAATAGACTTTTATTTAGTTTTTCAAATAGCTGTAGGCAAACATGACATTAAAGGTAGGATTGGGGATGTTGTTATAAATACACTATAAAATATTTCTAATCGTATAAAAGTTCTTAATTTTTTGAATTTTAATGCGAAAGGTACTAAAATGGACCTTCTGTCTGTAATAAAGTGATTACTTCAGGATTTTTCTGTTCACACAAGGGAATTCATCAAGTTCACTTGATTTTTTTTTTTTTATTATTATTATTTTTTCCTCAGAATTACAAGACTTGTAAAGGAAAACCCAGTTGAACTCTGAGTTTCACTGTGGCATTACTACGGGTAGGCAGTATGCCAAACAACTGTTCATGTCAGCAGAAGCAGCCGTATCGGTTACTTGCATTAAATGACCGTGAACCTGTCTGGATCGCTGCCGTTAGGAATTGAACCTTGGACCTTTGCACCTGAAACTCTGAGTTTCTTGTGTCTGACTGAAAGACTCCGATTTGTTGATTGTAATTGTACAAACTCACATGCGTGCGTGGACCTGCCATTCAGCTAGGAGGCGGAGCACCGTATAGTGTAGGAGTTGCGCATTGTCTTCCTGGCTAGGAAACAACTTTTAAACCTACCCAAGCTTGCTACGGCATAAATCTGTGTTCTGGCCACCTGTTGCAGTATAACTTGTCTACTTCAAACAAGTCACCTTGGATTACGTTTTCGTTCTTGTTTTCTTGTGCTTTGATCACTGAATAATTCACTTTGAGTAGAGGCATATTGAAAAATATTCGATTCTGATAATATCAGGTTTGGCTTGCAGTGGCTTTGTTATTGGAGCAGCTCTTGACTTTTCTGAGAGTGGAGACTTACGTTTGAAGGCATTAATTGCCAACGCTAGAAAATTATATGGTTTGAGTGCCTATGCACTGTGTTTCCCAAGTAAATTTTCACTACTGTGTAACTGTTGTTCAGTAGATATTTTGCCAGATGTGGTTAACATGCTTTAACAATTTTCCTAACTGAACGTAAACTTCTATGAACAGGGTAATAGTGTTGGTTTCTGTAATGGAAGTTCTTCCTTAGCAAGTCTCTTCAAAAGCAGTATTTGTTACCTTCTGGGGAAATGAATGTCCTTTTTATAATTGCTCTGGGTTTGGGATTTTCAGGTTTGGTTCTTTTTTTCATCTGTTTAAATCTGTTTTTGTTGTGGGCTGGAGGTTGCTTGTTTTCTGTTTGGGTTTGGGGTTTTTTTGTTGAGTTTTTGAGGGGGTTTTTTGTTTGTTTTGGGTTGGGGTTTTTTTGTTTGTTTCTTTTTGTTTGTTTGTTTTGTTTTTAAACCATGAGAATTTGAAACCTTGTTGAGGTGTGATAAAAGCTTGACCCTTGTCTTTTTGGCAGCAGCAGAGTGACTTCTATGGAACAGCTTGATCATGTTGTTAACTTCCAGCAGCTGAAGTCACAATTCCAGAGCACAATTTGAGCAAAACTACTTGCCATGTATCTTATGTCTTGCATCGAAATTATTGATAGAGAATAAAGGCAACAATACCAAATATTTAAATGGTAGAAAACAGCAAAAGTTGCTGCTTTTCTGAACAAGAATTTTTTTTCACTTTCAGTGTAGTTAGTGTATAGGAGATGTTGGGAAGATTATTGATTTCTTTTTCCTTTTTTTGAATTAATCTTTGATGTAGAACTGTAAAAATAGGTGTATATGGCCAATTCATAGAATCACAGAATGGTTTGGGTTGGAAGGGACATTTAAAGGTCATCTAGTTTAACCCCCCTGCAATGAGCAGGGATGTGTTCAACTAGATCAGGTTGCTCAGAGCCCTGTCCAACCTGATGTTGAATGTTTCCAGGGATGAGGCATCGTGTCCAAAGAAGGGCAACGAAGCTGGTGAAGGGTCTGGAGCACGAGTCTTATGAGGAGCAGCTGTAGGAACTGGGGTTGTTCAGTCTGGAGAAGAGGAGGCTGAGGGGAGACCTTATTGCTCTCTACAACTACCTGAAAGGAGGCTGTAGCGAGGTGGGGGTCGTGCTTTTCTCCCAAGTAACAAGTGATAGGACGAGAGGAAATGGCCTCAAGTTTCACCAGGGGAGGTTTAGGTTGAATATTGGGAAAAACTTCTTCATTGAAAGGGTGGTCAGGCACTGGACCAGGCTGCCCAGGGAAGTGGTTGAGTCTCCATCCCTGGAGGTATTTAAAGACGGGTAGACGTGGTGCTTAGGGACATGGTTTAGTGGTGGACTTGGCAGTGCTAGGTTAATGGTTGGACTTGATGATCTTAAAGGTCTTTTCCAACCTAAGCGATTTTATGATTCTACCGCCTCTCTGGGCAACCTGTCCAGTATTTCACCACCCTCATTGTAAAAAAACTTCTTCCTTACATCCAGTATAAATCTGCCCTCTTATAGTTTAAAACCATCACCCCTTGTCCTATCACAACAGACCCTGCTAAAAAGTTTGTCTCCATCTTTCTTATAAGCCCCCTTTAAGTACTGAAAGGCCGCAATAAGGTCTCCCCGCAGCCTTCTCTTCTCCAGACTGAACAACCCCAACTTTCTCAGCCTTTCCTCATAGGGGAGGTGTTCCATCCCTCTGAATTCATGTTGTCCTTCAAGGAAATACTACTGTATATATGGATTATCGTTTATTTGCTGAATAAACTCATACAATACCTCCTAAATGAAGCATGTTATTACAAGATGATAACGTTGAATATTTTTGCTAAATGTTAAAAAAAAAAAAATCTTAATTTTACTCTTGTTAATTGTGTAGAAGGTTCCTTTAGGTGAAAGGAACTTCATGTAGGTTAGCGGTTTCTATTTTGATGTTGTTTAGTTGCCTGCAACTACCGTAAAGCCCATCAGGGCTAGTTTTCATTTAATTTGAGGAGGCTTTAAATTTATGCTTGTAAACTCTTAGCTAGTCAGCTGTCTTTCTCCTCACCGTGGTAAAAATAGTCCTTATATAGTATTAGGTGGATACAGCCATAATTCCTAACACTTCAGGTTGATGAAAACATGAAGCAGAATCCTTAACACAGGAAAAATAAGACGATGGTAACTTGTGTTCCTTTTAGGTTTAAGCTCAGTTAAGAGACTCAAGCTTGTGAGTGCATGTACTTCAGCACCTTTCATTTTGTTAGAGTTGTGCACTCATTACTGTAAAAGTTGGCCAGAACGGTGGGATGGAAGCACTGCAGCAAATCATTTAAACACAAATATTAATTTTTGCAAATGGTTTTGCAAATTTAGGCTTGGTTTTAAATTGAGGCTCCTGTGCTTTATTGCTACAATGTTATTACTTGTTTGTCTTCTAAATTCTTTTTAGAAATGAGTTAGTGAATTTGTATAAAGCAGAAAGATGGATGTGTTGCTCTTAGTTCATTGAAAATATAACTAATTTCAAGTTGGTTTTGTGTCCTTCAGTTAAAGGTTGGGCGCTTAAGGAAGTTAGTTGATATTTTTATTAACAAAAATTGAACATTTGCTGGTTTGTATGCTAAAGGGTAATCAACTACATTTTCAATTTTTCTGTGCTTATATTTTCAGATTACAACTGATGGGAAACCCAAGATAATTGATATAATTGATACAACAGGCAGTGGTGATGTAACTACATGTACCATTGTAGAACCTAAGGATGGGGAAATTACTGGTCTTTCTGGAAGAACTTTAAAGGTGAATATTTGGTGGTACAGAGACACCACTGCGCATCTTTTTCTTTCTTTCTTGTTTAACAACAAATTTAGCACCTGTTTTGGTTCCTGCAGAACTTACTTCCTTTTAACCAGATCTTAACCAAAACTAATACTGCATTTGCTTATCTTCATATGGATTGCTTGACATTTCTTTTACTTTTCATATGTCTTTATATTGAATATTTTCTATAGCTGAATGGGGGTGTGTGCAGGGTTTTGTTGGGGTCCTAATAATCGTTTAATTATTCTTTGTTCAAATCAGTATCTGATATAGTTTTGGAAGCTGGCTGAAGAAAACATGCTAACGTGCTTTAAAAATATCAGACACAGTTCTGTCTTTAAAAGTGCTAGTATTTTCCACATTTGTATAAACTACAAGAGGAATCATGTTAAGCTTGTGGTAAATAGTTCAAGAGACTGAAAAATCTGTGTGGACTTAGTTGTAGGCTCACTGCATTCTCACTATGAATAGAACAGAAATGGTGTAGGGTTTTCAGAAGGGATGTGATGAGATCTAGTAGATGTCTCAGCTGCATAGAACTGCTGCTGTTACTGACATGTTCTTGATTGGCTGGTTAGATTGATGAGGTGATATGGGGGCATCAAATCTTTGGATCTCTCCATGCTATTAGCTTTCTTCTGAATTTTGCACAGAATATGATTGTAAGGGTGAATCTGTTGCTCTCTTTTGCTGTTGTTACTAGGAATAATGGATCTGACATGCTGAGAGTCTGAACTGCAGCAAGATAAGAAATTAGAAATTCAGATGTTTGTCATGACCGCTAACCGTAATACTGCTTCATGCTAGGGTGCTTCTTTTCATTTATAGTGCTATTATTTCCCCAGACCTTCACCCAACAAAGTCACTGCTGGGGCTGGATGTTTTATAAGTAGAGTATCAGGGCAACTGATACTTAAAGATGTTCAATGGCAGTGTCACATGAATTGATACTGATTCCTTTGGAACTGGATTGGAAGTGCCATGTCATGTTGTTGGAACTTAGTGCAGTAGTTACTGTCATGGAGACAGGGAATTAAATTGGCAATATTTGCAAGTCTGTTCTGCTAGGCTGTCTTAAAGTGTTATATTTTTTTTTATGCCATTAGTTAACCTATTTCTGAATATACTTTTCTGTAGATTCCAGCAAACTGGGTAAATCCTTCAGGCAAATATCACATTGGCATAAAAAATGGCTATGATATCTATCCTAAAGCTCTTAAGGAGAGGATTCAGGTAAGGCATTACATTTTGCTTCTGGTGTATAGTCATATTTCACTGTTCTGATTTTTAAGTTTTTCTAGGAAACTACAGTATGTGATTTGCTAACACAGGTAGGCTGCTAGCCAGTACTTGAGAGCTGTTCTCTCACTGGTTTTTGTTTAGTTTTGCCATGATCCATTTCTTCTGTGATTTTTTCAGAGCAACAGGAGGTGGCCTGGTGGTCCTCCTCACAGTGGTCCATCGAGGCAAAAAGTCTAGAAATTATTGATACCCGTTTCTTTTTTTCTGTGTATCAATTGATGCTTATTTATCGTACTATGTTGAACTTCTTTAGCCGTTGTGTCTCAAATCAGAATTTTCAAATTATTTTTGTAGTCTTCGTACTTTGACATATGTATTTGTCAATATATTGAGGAACCTGGTTTTATTTTACAGAAAGAACGCAAGGAAAAGCTCTGGGATCCAGTTCACAGACTGGCTCTAGCAGAGGCCTGTAGGAAACAAGAAGAATTTGATGCTGCTCATAGCTCTCCCTCCCAGGTTTATATAAGTCTAAATAAATTTGTAAACTTGTTTGCAACAATTTGTTACTGGTTGAGAGGATTGAAATATTTTATTAGATGAGTGAAGGAAAGATATACTTGTGATTATTTTGGCAGATAACTTACCAGTGTGTCTTCTGATTAATTTTAAAAGTCTGTATATGGATGGTGGTTTGATTTGCTTAGTGTTGTTAACTTTCTAAACTTGTTGTCAAATATGAAAAGGGTATTACTTCAAATACTTTGTAGCATATTTTTAGTAAGTTTTCATTTTTAATTTAATATGCTCTTTTTTGAGGCTGTCATCCTTGCTGTGTTCAAAGTTGGGGTCTTCTAAGCATATTCTTTCTTTTGTAAGCTAGGTACTATTGCAGTGAAGTACCAGAAATGCTTTGGGTCGGGTAATAGTTATACATAATAGGCCAGAAATAAATAGTGCACTGTTGAAGACAATTGAACTTCTAGATGTCTGTGACTCCTAGGATAGTCTTACATTCTTGATGAAGTAACGGAAGAAATGTATAGCATCAGAAAGGAATATAGGATTACCTATCTTTTCATAGTCTTAGAAATACTCTAACTGTATTTTTGTTGCCTTATTAGGTGAATAAGCTAATAAAGGAAGAACTTCAAAATCAAGTGGAACTGTTGAATTCTTTTGAGAAAAAATATAGTGATCCTGGCCCAGTATATGATTGTCTAGTATGGAATGATGGTGAGACCTGGAGGTAAATGCCTGAACTTGTCTAAAATGTCTTGTTCTACACATAAAATAGCAGCTTGCATTGAAGACTGTGTTAACTTTTAAATCTACCCTCTTTATAGAGGTCTCAAATAATATTTAAGAAGTCTTATTAAAGACAGCTTGATAAAGTGTAAGCTTGTGGGATTTTCTTCTGAAGCAGAGTAAAATTGCTTTGAGTATCCATTGGTGATAGGAAAAAAAAAAAAACCCAAACCCAAAACAGAAGTCTTTGCACAAACTTCAGGATGTAATATGCCACTTTTCTGGACTGATAATGTGCATCATACAGAACAGTGGGTAAGACTTCAAATGTTTGTGTACCAGCACCAAACAGCTAGCTTTAGTAAAATTTCTTTCTTGGAGAAATTGCCTTAATTTCCATATGCTTGCTTTTCAAAGACAGATTTATTTGAATTTTAGTAGCATTTGAAAATCAGTTTATTTAGACGTCTTTGTAGTTTCTGAATCTAAGTGTAAAAAACCAGGTTTAAAGACACTGACTTAAAGGAGTAAGATACCATAAACACAGAACCAGACTTCTTGAAGTCTTTGTGGTACTGTTTGCTGGGGCAGGGGGGAGATACTGAAAGTTTACAGCAGCTGGAAAATTGCATTTTTTTTTTTTTTTTTTGTCAACAGAGCCTGCATAGATACAAGTGAGAGTGGTGACTTAACTAGCTGTACAGTGCTGAGAACATATAAAGAGGCTCAGGAATATGGATCTTTTGGAACATCTGAGATGTTGAATTATTCAGTGAATATATATGATGATGGAAACCTTCTTTCCATTGTGACAAGTGGAGGTAAATGAAAGTAATCTTAAGAAAATTTTGCTGCTGAGTAGGTATCATGAGAAGCAGCAATTTGTATTGGGTCCTGATTCTGATACTAGGGGTGGCTCAAGGCAGCTGTCTTAATGCAGTGTTTGTTACTATGGCAATCAAGATCAATATTCAGCTTTCCTGAACTAAACCTATAATGACAGCTCATTACCAAACTCGCTTACATTTTTGTATGAAATATTATCAATTTTGTGTTCATATGCATGTATACATAGAATGTGTATACTTAGGTACTCTTTAAGATGTTCCTGCATCTTAAAGCCTAAAATAGAGAGAACCTTCTTTCAAAGTACCTTTTTTGGTTTGTTTCCTAAATATAGGGTGATGACTGATTTTTAGTTGCTGTCCTTTGTGCTTGTGTAATTTAAGAATCTTAAATAAGACATCCATGAGCAAAAGGGGTATTAATCTTTATTTTGGTTTATACAAACTTTTTTGTGGTGGCAGGTGTCACTATAGCTGTAGCTCCAACCACTCTGAACCCATATTTGTGTATTCTTTATCTAATCATGTTTTGTTTTGGGAGCATCCTGAGTGGTTAAGGTGGTATGGATGTATTTGGTGTGAAAATGCTCTTAATTTCTCATGAAACTGTCCCCTCTTAGTAGAACTACAGAAGCAGTTCTAGTTTCTAAATTGATGGTAACTTTTTTTGAGAGATCCTTTTTATACTTCTGTGCAGTTTTATTTCTAATTTCTTTCTTAATCCCCACTGATTCATTTCAGGTATAATTTTCATAACTTTGAGTAGGAAGTGTTGAGCCTCTTAAGTAACTTTTGTTAGTGGAATTAAGTTAATACTTCCTTTCTTTCTGCCTGCTGCCTCTTTTCTCCCCTCAAAAAGCTGTTTTATTTTGCAGCTTGCTCCCATTTACTGGCTTTTTTTTCCTTAGTATAATATGATATTTATTAAATAAAGTGATTTGAAACTTGGGCTCATTTTATAGAATCACAGAATCATTTAGGCTGGAAAAAGACCCTTAAGAACATTGAGTCAACTGTTAACACTACCCAGTCCACCACTAAACCATTTCCCTAAGTGCCACATCTTTTAAATACCTCCAGGGATGGAGATTCAACCACTTCCCTGGGCAGCCTGTTCCAATGCTTGACAACCCTTTTGGTGAAGAAATTTTTCCTAGTATCCAACCTAAACCTGCCCTGGCGCAGCTTGAGGTCGTTTCCTCTTGTCCTATTGCTTGTTACTTGGGAGAAGAGACCAACCCCCACCTCGCTACAACTTCCTTTCAGGTAGCTGTAGAGAGCAATAAGGTCTCCCCTCAGCCTCCTCTTCTCCAGACTAAACAACCCCAGTTCCCTCAGCTGCTCCTCGTAAGAACTGTGCTCTAGACTCTTCACCAGCTTCATTGCCCTTCTTTGGATGTGTTGCAGTACCTCAATGTCCTTCTTGTAGTGAGGGGCCCAAAACTGAACACAGTACTCGAGGTGCAGCCTCACCAGTGCCAAGTACAGGGGGACGATCACTTCCCTAGTCCTGCTGGCTGTGCTGTTTCTGATGCAAGCCAGGATGCTACTGGCCTTCTTGGCCACCTGGGCACACTGCTGGCTCATATTCAGCCAGCTGTTGACCAACACCCCCAGGTCCTTTTCTGCCAGGCAGCTCTCCAGCCACTCCTCCCCCAGCCTGTAGCGTTGCATGGGGTTGTTGTGACCCAAGTGCAGGACGCAGCACTCAGCCTTGTTGAACCTCATACAGTTGGCCTTGGCCCATTGATCCAGCCTCTCCAGATCCTTCTGTAGGGCCTTCCTACCCTCCACCCAACTTGGTGTCATCTGCAGACTTCCTGAGGGTGCACACAATCCCCTCATCCAGATCATCGATAAAGATTAAATAGAACTGGCCCCAGTACTGAGTCCTGAGGAATACCACTTGTGACCATCCGCTGACTGGATTTACATACTTAGAGCTCAATAGGTGAAAATTAATTGAGCTGTAGTGGATTAAATTGGTATAAATGAAGTTCATTAAACATACAGTGATGAAATTTTCATTTGCTCAGGAGCACATGGAACACATGTGGCTAGTATTGCAGCTGGATACTTTCCAGAAGAACCAGAACGAAATGGTGTGGCTCCTGGAGCTCAGATTCTTGCAATCAAGATTGGTGATACGAGACTAAGTACAATGGAAACTGGCACTGGTCTAATAAGAGCTGTGGGTATTTCACTGAATAAACGATTAATCTCAGCGGTGTGACTTCATTGTAGAATACTGTGGAACACTTTCTGCTCTACTTGCTTATAGGCCATGTTTTTTTGTGGTTCTAGAATATGTACAACAACAACAACAAAACCCAACCAACTTGGGGGGGGGAACCCAGCTTGAAACAAAACAAACAAAAATAACCCAACCAAAAAAAGCCACAAAACCAACTAGAATATATTTTAAAATATATCTTAAGTCTAATGTTTTAATATAAAACAAGACTTCTGTTGCATATAGAGACTTACAGGGTTTTTCAGACTGATAGAGTTGCAGTGTGTCTGGCTAGCTTGAGGTATGGGCTAAGTTACTTGTATACTTATTTAAAGTTCCTTATTCTGTGTTGTGAGTGTATTTTTTTTATAGTTGCTTAGATAACCATAGAATATTTAAATACTTAAATAAATCTAGAGTAGAGACTAGTATCTACCCATGTGGCTGAATTTGTTTTAACTCTGTTTAAGAGTGAGGAAAGGTATCATTCCTTTTTAATGATGAAGGGCTCAAGACTTTTTCCATATAGTGAGTTGATGGGGAAAAATTTTACACAAGAAAAGGAACTGAAAATAGAAAACTGTATTTGTGGCCCATAGAATATCTTGGTATAGCAACATGAAGATGTACAATAATGTTTTTGTGGCTTTTTGGAATTTAACCAAATTGCACAGGAAAGGACAATTTTATGTTACTGAGAACAGACATTTGAGACAATACTAATGATGTCTGCAGTTTTCTCTTAGGGTAATGTCTTAATTTATAGCTTGGAACATGGCAAAGATAAGACTGTTCAGGGAGTGGGTTTTTTTATTCTGTTTGCTCACTGGGAAAATACCACTTAAATAACTTACTGAAGTAAATTAAATTCTTTTGTAGAGTCAAAAGAAATTTATCGCTTTTAGCAGATCAGTTTAAGCAGATGTTTTTTGCCATTCCTTACGTGACTTATGCTATGACTAGTATGTATTTTGGCTTTTATTTTTACTTTATCAGATGATAGAAGCAATAAAATACAAATGTGATCTTGTCAACTATAGCTATGGAGAAGCGACACATTGGCCAAATTCTGGGTGAGTACTACTGTGGTTAATATGAAGTATTTAATGTCACAGAAGTGGAATTACATTTGTTGAGCTTTGTGTAAATGAACTGTCAGTAAGAATGATTTGTCCAGGCCCAAATAATTCAGGTACATTAAACTGTTGCAGTTTGCATTTTTAAATATCTTCGAAAGTTAAGTATACCCATCAAAAGTGCTATTGATTTATAATACAAATAATGTTTTAGAATAATAAAGAATTTTTGTTGTTGGAACACCACCTAATCTGTGGGGTTTTTTTGAAGACCTAATATTGCTATATAACTGTTACTCCTTTTTAAAACCAGAAGGTATTTTTTGTGGTCAGCTTCCGTACTGGAACCGCCTCTGCTAGGTGTGGGAAGCAGGCTGCATAATATTCCTTTTTCTGTGACTGGTCACAGAGATTCTACTAGAAATGGGAGTTTTGCCCTGTGGGAAGAAAGCAATATTGTTGATTAAATTGCTTATTTTTTTTCCTCTTACATCAGGAGAATTTGTGAAGTAATTAATGAAGCGGTGTGGAAACACAATGTAATCTATGTTTCAAGTGCAGGAAATAATGGCCCTTGCCTTTCTACAGTAGGATGTCCTGGTGGAACTACGTCTAGTGTAATAGGTAAATAATTTGTTTTGAAAAAAAAAAAAAAATGTTGACTGTATCCAGCTTCTGTCTTTTCAAGCTTTGTACTTGTATTACATGTTTGAGATCACCAGTTAATTGCTGAACTAAATCTAAAAAAATATCAAAGACTACTGCGCTACAAGATTAATTCTGAGGGAGACACTTGCTGTATGCTTAGGTATAAAACTTTAGATTGTTATCTTCTTAACAATTCAAGACCTTACTTATGTAGAAAACAGAAGTAGGAGGTGGATGGTCTTGATCTGATGTGGCTTTGTATAAAATTTACAAAAGAAATTTTTGTGGTCTGACCTGTTTGAAGATTGCAAGATTATTTTTTTTAACTGTAAATGTCTGAGCACATCACTCAGACCATTAACTGCTGGTAAATGCAACTTGTAAAAAATATAAGCAAGTTGGATTCTAATTAATCTTCTGGAAAGTCTTGTAATGCATTCTGAATTGTCAGAACCACAGTTTTAGATCATCTATCTTCATCAAATACTCTAATTTCTATTTGTAATGAAATGAAGCTTTTTAATTTGGATGTAAAATAATCCCATGACGTGACCTAGACAACTCCTTCTAGGGGGAGAATTCTTTCACCTGCAGTGCTGCTTCTGTGCAAGTCTGTTACTGGCATAAGAATTGGTTTTTCTGATGGGCTAGTGTACGTTTTTGATATTTCAGTGAAAGATTGACATCTACAACTTAGCAAAATGTCTAGCATTCGGGGGTAACTTCCCTAGTCTTAATTTTTATATAAATCCTCTGATGGTGCATTACCGTGTTAAACAAGATGCATGTTAAATCTGAGTTCTCATGCAAGCAGACTAGCATGTAGACTTGAAAGTTGGAGAGACACTGTTTCAGGACAGCTAGTAGAATTCACACTGATTACTTCCTAAAAGTTCATCTGCAATTACTCCACTACTGAGACTGCGGGTTGGAACTGGAACTAACAAGCTCTTTTCATGTCTGCATTGGCTCTGCTTTTACAGTGCATCTATTCTGTTAATTCAGCTTCTTGCATCACTCTAGAGACTAGGTGATCATTCACTCTGCATGCAAAGTAGCTTGCTCCTTGTCCTCCATCTGGAGTGAACCAGATAGGTTGGGGTTTTTTTTTTGTTTTTTGAGCATAAAGCAAAATACGGTCGACATGTTGGCTTGGTTGACACAGACAGTATGGACATGGACCTTGCCAGATTTGTTTGTCAGCTTAGTATGGTAGTTTTCTACCATCCTGATAGTGCTTATGCCATAAAGAAAATGGAGTGTACGCTTTAGAATAGGTACACGGCATGGATGCAGTGTGCATCCTTGACATTGTGTTCTAAAAATACAACTTCAGCAGGCTTTGACGTAGTCATTTACATGCTCTGGGCACTCCTGATATACAGGAAAGTAATGACTGTCTCATCACTGTGTTTGAGCTGTGTGTATGTGGCCATCTGCTCCAGGTGGTGTGGCTGTGAGCCACGTGAACATGAACCGATTCACATAGATTGCTTTGAGGTATGGCTGGTGTAGGTTGTAACAGTGTAAACACAGCCAAAGGGGTGCAGGAGAGAGTGGAGACATGTAAAAGTGGTCTGTTGTGAAAGAAATGTAGAAGGTAAGTACATTCTATTCCAGTTGAATGAAAATGAAATTTTGAAGTTTACATAATATTTATTGTTATGTAGTATGACCATCAGCATTGTTACTACATAGCATGCTGCTTTACACTTGGTTTGTAAAAATATCTGGATTTAATTAGATGGAAAATGTGTTTCCATTTTTAAATGTCAAGCAAAAATTCTTCTCATAATGAATTTAAAACACGGAAATATTTTATTTTTTCTTTTAATAAAAATTCATTGTACATCTAAAGCGCTTGAATGTTTTTTACAGGTGTTGGTGCCTATGTGTCACCTGACATGATGGTTGCTGAATACTCTTTAAGAGAAAAACTGCCAGCAAATCAATATACTTGGTCATCCAGAGGGCCTAGGTAGGTTATACTAAAAGAACAAATTCATTACTTTGGGGTTCAGATTATGTAATTCAAAATCTAAAAATTGGTCATTAAGACCAGAATAAAAGTATTTCTTTCCCATGGGA